GACCTAAGCACCACTATTCATCCCTGCTTCCTGGCTATGCAATGTGACCATCCCTCAGACTCCTGCTGCCAAGCCTTCCCTGCCATGGTGGAGTACACCCTCAACTGTGAGCCAGAATAAACCCTTCCAGTTGCTTTTGTTAGGCATTTTTGTCACAACAGAAAAATAATACTTTTAATCTATCACAACTACAAATATATATTTTTTCTTTTTTTTTTTTTTTTTTTTTTTTTTTTTTTTTTGAGACAGGGTCTCCCTGTAGCCCCAGCTGGCCTGGAACTTGCAATGTAAACCAGGCTGGCCTGCCTCTGCCTCCCAAATCATGGGATTAAAGGCACCACTGTGCCTAGCTAAAAACTCTAAATTCTAAAGCCTCTTAGTTTAGCTACATAGTGTGTCCTAAATTAAGGTCCATATTGAACACCTATAGCTTAATTGCCAAAGCAGTGGCTCTCAAATTTGATGTACATCAGAGTCCACTGAAGAACTTAAGGACGATTTCCTCATGGCGTCTGATTCAGACTTTTCAGATGTGGGGTGGAATTCAAGAATACATTTCTAACAGGATTCCAAATGCTGCTGGGTCCTGAAAACTACCCTTTCTAAAACAACCCATGGATATCAACAAATAACCATAGGATGGCCACAGGAGGGCTCCACTCACCCACAGATGATGATGTTGGGAAGCACATCAACACATAGTAATTGAACCATTTAGATCTTAACAGGAGCTGGCTATATTGGCAAAATGCATTCTAGTTTTTAAGTGATTGATAGCTGTGGAGATGTGTGATGCCAGACTGACCACTACTGAAAAACATCTTTTGTCTAGTAAATTATCTTAGCAAAAGTCCAGCGGGGAAATAGGATTAGGTGATGAGGACAGGGACCGATGCCCTTGCCTCAGGGTGTGCTCACAATGCCAAGAATGGGTTTCTGAAAGCAGGGTCTGCTCTGTGCTCCCTTCAGCCTTCTGCCATGGGGTACTGCAGCCTTCAGAAGGCTCAGAGATGTCAACCTCTTGCTCTTACATTTCTAGAATCCAACTTAATTTTCTCCTTTATAAATTAGTCTTAGGTATTCTATTACAACACACCTATATTCTAACATTTTAACAGTTGGATATAAATAGAATTTTGGCTACTGTAAAAATTGAGAATGTCATGAAAAGAAAAATATATCAGGCCCAATGCCAAGCTTTGGAGTAAGGTTTGAATGTATACTGAGGTTTTATTAAAAAAAAATCTTCACATGTTGAGAATTTTTTTTTCTCCAGTTCCCAGTGTGTTGCTCAGAAACAGCATGCTGACTACTGTGAAGTGAAGCGCTCAGTGATCCCAGGATAAGCTGCTTAGCTGTAGCACAGCAAAACCACCAGATATGGAGCTCTAATATACATAGGGATAATTAATATTTGTAAGAAACAATATAACTATTTCAATGTCTTGATTGTAGCACAAAAGTCAAACTGCAATAACTCATTACAATGCTCTAATAGTTGCAAATTATTGCCTTTTTTCTTGCCATTTTTTAACTTTGATTCACACTGGATTCCAGGGTTCTTAGAGTGTTTTTAATCTTGTTTATATTAAGTCTTCTAGATAGTTACCTCTGGAGAACATCACTTGTGGAGCCTCTTTGCTGGACTGTGTCACTGGTATTCAAAACCTTAAAATTCTTTCAGAACACTTTACTCTAAATTACATTTTAATTAATACTATTACAAAAAAGATTTGTGTCATTCAGTGGCTCATTCACACCAAGTGATCTGATAATCTCCCAGACAGAAGCCTTTGCTAGTCTAACACATGACACTGCCTACCCTGTGATTGTGTGCCTTATGAAAAATGAATGGCTAAGCTTCTATTTCCCCCCACACACTTCATTTTTCCTCATCTTATTCAACAGGTAGTGGAAAGCAGTATCACTTAATCTGTACTGCTTCATTAATCTACCCTAAATTGAAGTTGGGCAGAGTTATAATCTAACCCAACTGGTAATCCAGTCTTCTGAATTCCTTTGGCCCTGTCAGTCTGCTCCAGGGTTTTAGATTGCATATTGAAAATATACACACGGGGGCTGGAGAGATGGTTCAGCAGTTAAGAACACTGGTTGTTCTTGCAGAAGACCCAGGTTCAAATCCCAGCACCCACATGGCAGCAAACAACTGTAACTCCAGTCCCAGGAGAACCAACAGCCTCTTCTGACCTCTGGGAGCATTGCACGACATGGGTGCACTTACCTACACGCAGGCAATACACACATACACATTAAAAAAAAAAAAAAAAAACTTAAAATATACATGTGCAATCAAATGTAATAGTATTTTGGTCTGACAATAGAAATAATGTAGTCAATTATGTATGTAATACAGTTTAAAAACCAGGGCAAGTGGGCTGGAGAGATGGCTCAGTAATGAAGAGCCTGTACTGCCCTTGAACACCAGAGTTCAATTCCCAGCACATGTCAGGCAGCTCACAACCACCTGTTACTCCAGTGCCTCTTCTGGCCTTCAAGGGCACTGCACTCATGTGCACAAACACACACACACACACACACACACACACACACACACTTACAAAAGAAACCAGTGATGGCAAGATGACTCGAGTAGGTAAAGGCATAGAAATAAGAACATGGTGGCAGGAGAGACCCAACTCCTGAAAGCCGACCTCTGATTTCCACAGCACACTGTGGCATGTGTGCAACGCATGCACACACAATGTTCACACACATACACAGTTTTTAAAAGTATGATTGGTATTCCTTTAGCCATCAAAATATTGAGAACTGTTACATTTATTCCAAAGAGTTTTAAGTTGTATTTTGTAAACATAATCACTGAATGCTTTTAAATAGGATGGGCAGGCAGACCTTACTTTCACATGATCTAGAGATAGCTCTAAAATGGTTTGGAATTGCTGCCACTCAGCTGGTGCTGCAAACCCTAAGCTTCCTTTCCAGCCCTTTCCTTTCTTCCCATCTCAAGTTAGGGCCAGTCCCGGCAAGATATGTTCAGTAAGCAGCGACAGAAAGGTAGAGGAGTATTTGCCAAGCCACCCCTGCACTCCCAGCCGCACTGCACAGCCACCGCCTCAGGCCTCATTCTTGCTGGCTTCATTGCCAAGTCCCACTCTCTACCTCCCCCACCCACCTGCCACGTGGCTTTGGGCAACAAATTCTGAGGTGATGGCTCTCAGGGCTGAGCAGGGATCATTCTCTCTTTCCACCAGGGGCTGGTAGGGAGAAGAGTCGTCCTCCATAGTCTTGGGGGACAGACCATAGCAATCTGGTTCTGGAAGACTTACCTCTCAGTTCCCCTGTGGCTTTGGGGGGCAAACCAAGAAAGTTAGTAAATCCTCTTACTGTGTTATTTACAAAGGTAAATGCTACCAGATGTCAATTCAATGTGCAAGTAAACTTTTAGAATGCATTTTTATTTGAGAGCTGCCAGAAATATACAGAAAAAGATGCCATGTAAGCAAAGAACCCCTTCAAATGTCCAAAGTCTACAAGTAAGTATAAATACTAGGGTTAGAGCCCTGGTTTACAGGAATTTGAAAAGTGCCTTTAAGAAAAGTTTTCTCAGCCATCCCTCAGCTTCAAAGACTCCTGCAATTTAGATTCTTGGGAGTTTTTGTATATTTTATTTTTATGTGTATGAGTGTATTGCCTGCATGTATGTAAGTACACCCTTGCTGTGCACTAGATTCTTGTTTCAGAAGAGGGTGTTGGATCCCCTGGAACTAGAATTACTGATGGTTGTTAGCCACCATGGGGGTGCTGGGTATCAAACCTCTGCAAGAGCAGTCAGTGCTCTTAACTGCTGAGCCATCTCCCCAGCCCCTAGATTCTTGTTTTTTAAAATAAAAAAATTTTGGCCAGGCGTGGTGGTGCACACCTTTAATCCCAGCACTTGGGAGGCAGAGTTCTCTGAGTTCTCTGAGTTCCAGGCCAGCTGGGATTACAGGGAGACCCTGTCTCAAAAAGACAAAAAAAAAAAAAAAAAAAATTTCATATGCTGTCCTCTTGCTGGGAGGTAAATTTTAAATTTATACCTATGAGTTTCTTTACAAAGTCTAATTTTAAAAATGATTTACTTCAAACACAGCTGCAAAAAAATGATTTGTAATAAATAGTAATTCCTGCTTTCCTATTCCATTTATTCATGCACACCTCAAATAATCCTGTTCTTAGAAAGCTTCAGTTGACCTCCAGATTATGCTATCTCTCATTGTACATGGCATTCTGCTTTCAGTTTTTCTTTCCACTGTGAACGTGAACATATCGGCCCATTTGAAACGACCCTGGCCATGCCACAATGTCGTCACCCTGTTCTACACCATGACTGTCCTTCTCACTAGACGTCTCTTTTTCGGAAGTTTCTAAGGAAACAGCTCAGTGTCTGTTTTAGTGTCCTTGTTTTTGTTTTGTATTGTTTTGTTTGACAGTGCCTCCTTGTAGCCCCAGCTGCTCTAGAACTGGTTATGTAGACCAGGCTGGCCTTGATCTCAAAGAGATCCCCCGCCTCTCCCTCCCGAGTGCTGGGATTAAAGGTGTGGACCACCACATTCTACCAGTATCAGTTTAAACCCACCAAAAAAGTATTACACACTAAATTCTAGGACTTTTTGAATGCTTCACAGTAGATGTTCCAAAGGAAAATAATTACTACGAATAACATTCCAGATTATAGTCTAAAATGATACTTTCTAGGCTCAAAACAACTAGAAAATCTCAACAAAAGCCATCAATCAGGAAAACTGATTCCAGAAATACTAAAGTTGACTGGTAGAAACACTAGTTTATAACCTACTTTATGGAAATGTACATTTTGGTAATTTTGATATGAAATCAATACTATTAAGGAACTAAAAGACACTAAAATACATGAAGCACTGTATAACTTTGGCAGACAGTAACATTCTCAACTCAGGTATGGTAAACTTTAAAACCTCAATTTTCTATAGTTGGCTTTTGAAAATCACATTGTTCCAAAGTCCAATAATATAGTTATTTTTATTCAGAAATTCTTTCATATTTAGTAACTGTAATTAAAAGTTTAAAAGTACATGGCTTTTAGAAGTGATGTCAAACATGCAACATTTTAAGTGACAATATAATTCTGCCCTCTTAAGAAATTTACTTTTCAAATTATTGCAACAGGAAAACAAATATACCATATATTACTCTTTATTACAGTATGTTCTTATCAACGGGACATTTCAAAACGTTTAAGTCTGATAGGAAAACATTTTTAAACATCGTACCATTGAAAGAAAAAAGCTTCAGAAAGTCCTGTCCTTCATACGGCATGAGATGGGAAATATTGCCATACAAATCTCCTACCCCATCCTGGGGAGCTCTTTCTGAATATTTTCACAGGGGTCTACTATACTTTAAAAGAGAAGTTTAAAAACAATTTTGCATTTAGAATTACTATCCTGTTCCTGAGTGACAAGTGTATAAACTTTCACTCTTCACTCACCCACATCTGAACTTTCCCCAAAGTGGTTGGTTTCTGAGTAACTCAAGAGTCGGACTGGCACACAGCACACAGAAGTCTTGTCTTGTGGGAATCAGAATGATGGTGGAACACTATTTGGGGAGCTCACCCTGCTAGACATGACTTTCTGGAAGGTCTCCATTGTGAAGAAAAAGCCTCAGAAGGGGAAAGGAGACCTTAGCTAAATTTCTGGTGGCCCCACAATGTTCGGCTATGGTTTAGGGAAAAGAGGTGAACTTGTTAACTATTTCCCTCCTTTCAATCTAAAGAAAATAAAGCCTCTCCAAGGTTTCTTTAATGATAATATAAACCTGAATTTATTTGTGAAAAAAAACACAGGTCCAGATGGGAGAACTTTGGAAAAACAAGTAAGTCTGTGACAAAGACTGACTTCCCTGTCTTCCCTCTGGGGGAAGCCCCCTTTCTCCATCCCAGCTCTCAGGTGAGTTCAGATAATACTGCATTATGTAAAGACCAAGGCATTCCACACAACCACCACAGGCACGCACGCTCATCTTCCATCATCTCACGTACTCTTAGCTGTCCTCCTTGAAACAGTGTCCACTGTTACCATGTCCAATGAAAGCAACAGAGTAAACCCATTTTTAACAAAAAGTGCTTAAAACCATCCTCTACAATTGTTTTTTCTTCATTTTCAACTAATAAGATCAAACTCATTTATGCTTAGGAATAATACTGAAAAACAGTGAATCTCTGATTCTTAGATTTTAAATAATGTGCCTTCATTCCCAACTCTACATGAACTGACTCGGTATCTTAAGCTGAGCTCTCCTTTGGAAAATATAGAAGGTACAAATATATAGAATTTTCAGGATAAAAAATTTCTGAATATAAAAATGCTTTCTGTTTCAAAGTAACACTTTCAGATTCTCTTTGTAGTTTTGGGTGTGGTAAATAAACCATAAGTACCCAAATTTTTTTGTTGTTGTTGTTCCTTAAGTAACAAAAGATAATGTTTTTAAATACAAAGTTACACAAGAACCACTCAGTCTGTGGATCATCCTCACAAAAAGTTCAGTTTCTAGCTAAGAAAATCCCTAAATATTTAGTCATATAATTACATTATCAAAAAAACTAGCTTAAGATAGAAATCAATGCGCCTTAATGATTGCCAGAATTGCCCAGCACAGCTTCAGTAAAATAGAGAATTGTCTAGAATACAATCTCCAAAATGTGTGCAAGTACTGCAAATCAGGTCAGGGCAACGCCCTTGAAACCAGGTGAGTCCTCCTCCAGCCCTTCCCAGCCCTCAGCCTCATGCTTAGTGTGACTCCTTCAGTGCACGGCTCTTCATACTGCACCTCCTGTCTGATGAATCTCCACATGGAATAAACTGTCGGGGAGCAAGGACGAGTTGACAAGCATTTTTCAAGCTGTAAACACTTCACATGATTGGGTCCCCATAAGAAAGTGTGGGAGCTTTAAATGAGCCTGGAGCTTTTCAGAAACTGAATGAGAACTCTGTACACAAATGTGTACTGGCCAAGGGTCTGCACCAGCATCATTCTCTGTTGCCTCAGAATGTCCAGCACTCTAGGGATGTCCAGCACCTAGCAGAGAGAAACAGTGATGAGAACACACTCCTGTGGGAAACAGATTGTGCAAAGGCTGTTGCCCTCACAGAATCTGCTCTCAGATGGGCAATCTCGGTCTGCCTCAGCATCTCCTGTAGTAACCCATGATCTGATTTGTTGTAGCTGTCAGTGAAGTAGATGGGATTATATTGCCACATGGGGACCATCACAGAATGTCCAGAAGGATTATTTCTTCAACATTCCCTAGTGGTAGCTCATGACTTGTAAATCAGTTACATGCAAATCATATCTCACCAGATACCAATATTCAACAAAAACAGTGTGCTAGGCACTATCAGTATCTGGCTCAGCATTTCCCACACAGACCCCTGACCAGCACTAATCACCTTGAAGTGTTAATGGTATTACAGGAAAAACAAAGCACTGAGCTCATATTCAAAAAACAAAACAAAAACAGCTATATGTGTTGTATGACATTTCCATTTTAATTTCCCACTAGAGCTGAGAACCTCTAAGACAGCCTTTTACAAACAACATCTTATGGCCACCAGAGTCCCAGGAAATGTGCTCAGAAGGACCTTGTAGGCTCTTCTTTTATGTCCCTCTCCTTCCCAGCCCATAACCCTCAACAAAAAAGGTGGAGTTTAACATCAAAGTCATCACCTCATTGTGTTCCAGACAAGCAATCATGATCTCTGATAAAATGACAACACCAGTTCTTCCCACGCCAGCACTGCAGTGCACCAACAGTGGAGGGCTGGGGCTTCTGGGTTCACTTGTACTGTTTGTATGACGGCGAACAGACTGGATCTCTTCAAGGTACGCTGTGAATATCAATGGAATAGAAAAATACTTAGGGACAATGACGTAGCAAACCAACAACCTCCTTACCCACCTCCCCAGAAGCCTGCAGAGAATGAGCACTGGGCAGTGGGTACCAGAAGCATCCCAACGTGATTGTGGGGAATTCGGCACCTCAGCCAAAACTAGACAGAAAAGATGTGGGAGTCAGTTGTGGCATTGTAGCCATCTCTCTTAAAAGAACATCTTCATGGGCTGGCAAGATGACTCAGCTGGTAAGGCACTTGCTGCCAAGACTAACTAGGACCTACAGAGTGGAGAGACCCCATTTCTCCAAGTTGTCCTCTGACCTGCCTGCACAAATCCAACAACAAATTCATCTTCTGGTAACCTCTTCAAACACATTCTTTACATTTTTTGTGGTGAGGGTGGTATTTGAGACAGGGTCTCCCTGTAGCCCCAACTGGCCTGGAACTCACTATGTAGATCAGGCTAACCTCAAACTCAGAGATCCGCCTGCCTCTGCCTCCTGAGTGCTGGGACTAAAGGTGTGCGCCACCACAACCAGCTTCAAACACATTCTTAAACAAGTCCAAACTTATATGAGACAACAGAAATGAACTATTTCAAGAAACCTAAGACAAAGGAGGCTTTGTGGTGCCTTTAGTCCCAGCACTCTGGAGGCGGAGGCAGAAGCAGGCGGGTCGCTGAGTTCAAGGCCAGCCTGGTCTACATAGTGAGTTCCAGGCCTGCTGGGGCTACCGGTAGATCCTATCTCAAAAAAGAAAGAGGCTGTCCAAGAACAAAGACACTTACATAGAAAACCCTTTAGGTCTTCTGGACAGCCGTGCTCAGGCCAGTCTGTGTACTGGAGGTGCCAAACTGTCCTCTCCTGCCCAGTGAGAAGGTGCTTCATCTTTAAGCCTGTGGTGGCATAGCAGCCAGAGTCCGTGCGGAAGCGTGTTGTGATCTTAAACCTTCCATAGGTGACAGTATTGTGCCTTGAACCAAGTCTTGGCCAATACCTGAAGCTCTTCTCCCTGCCACCCTCCTGTTAAAGACAAGAACAGTTCAACAGCAGACCAAGACCCAGCGTGGGCATTCTTCACACCGACAGCATGCCTGACACACAAACCACAACCCCACCCTGCGTTCGTAATCCAACCCTGTGTTTTTCTCTGAAGGTGAGGACCCTATGAGATTCACCTTAACAGTCTTTGCAGGCTGAAAGGAATGCACACTTACCTCTTCTGCGGTCACCATTGCTATAATCGCAATTCCCTGCTCCCACACCATCTGCCAAAAGTCCTGGCAGGTGTTCTGTAATGGTCCCTGTGTGGCAATATAATCCCATTCAATTCCACTGACTGAGACCTAAAAAGTCAGAAAAGGTTAAAAACTTTGTATGTTTGTGTATGCGCACCCCTGTGTTCATGGGGGCACTAAAAATTGAACTGGATTAGTCAGCAAAATAAGGACAAAGTTATACCTTAACCTTTTCTTCATCAATAAAACTTCAACTGCTTACATCTTTACAAATATATGTACTGTAAGTTTATGACATCTGTGTGATTTAGGGCAATGGGCTCGCCTCTAAATTTCAGATTTTTGTTTACAAAATAAAACTAGTAGCTACTCTCATAGGGCTATAAGGACTGAGTCAGTACACATGGTGTCTGTCAACACATATGGTGTCTGGCACATAACAAGTACTGAGTAGGTAGCTTTGCTCTGATGGTAACACCAACACTGTAGTGCCCTAAATTTGCTCTGATGAAAATGCTGGAAAAAGTATTAACAAGTAAGTTAAAAACCAAGTCAATGTTGCATTTCTATGGGAAAAGAAATATCTTCCTCATTAAGATGGTCTCACTCTGAACTTGAGTCAAATTCACTCTCCATAATGCCAAGTTTCCACAGACAATGTAACGCCTTCCTGTATAAAATAACAAGCAGTCACTGGATTTACAGCCAGGGAACCTGGGCTAAATTTTGTTCCACCAATAACTGCTGCCAACAATTTTTTCCTAAGTGCCCAAGCCCTGTTATACACACCCTCTCTCTAAGCTACCAGCCCTCAGCCCTAGCTCTGCACACTGTCATTGGGCACCCTTTAAGCAATAGGCATGTAGGTAGGCACAGGTTATTCATAGGAGTTGGTTAAACAGATGTCCCTCAACTCTAGGTGTTGATGTGATCTGCTCAATTCTGAGATTCATATTCTTTCCACAACTCCTCAAGCTGAAGATTTTGAAACACCACTACAAAAAATTCCCAATGTCATTCAATTTTTTACCCATCCATTTATAAACGACTAGAAGAGGTATTCCAAAGAAATGCTTCATTTTTTAAAAATTTTATTATTTTTATTTTGTGTATGCGTGTATTGCCTGCATGTAGGTAAAGTGCATCCATGTCGTGCAATGCCTGCAGAGGTCAGAAGAGACTGTCGGATCCCCTGGGACTGGAGTTACGGACAGCTGTTAGCTGCCATGTGGGTGCTGGGATTCGAACCCAGGTCTTCTGCAAGAACAACCAGTGTTCCTAACCAAGGAGCCATCTCGCCAGTCCCAAAATGCTTGATTTTTAAATACACAATATCCATATAATCAGCAAGGCAGTAAATGCACTGATTCTTTAAACCATTAAGGGGCGCACAGAGATTGCCAGGTCTGACCTCAGGGGTCAGACTGCTCTCCTAGCAAATATAACCTGCAAGCTTAAGAAATGTTGGGAAGAAAAACCTACCCTGCCTGGAGACGCTCATCCACTTGCTATCAAGATATTTCTCCTTTCAAAGAATCACATCTAGCCAGCATGAATGAAGTTACAATGATGGAAACCTGCTTTCTATGCCACCCGCTGTGAATCAGCACTCTCTCTATTTCAGTGTCACATCACCCCCATTAGATAGTGTGATACTATTTCCAGGAAAAGGTGCTTCCTTGAACAACATAATGTTAAAATAATCACAGAAAGAACAGGTAGCATCTGCCTAAGTAAAAGCTTGTGTGAACACCCGCAGGATTGCAGACATGGAGCTGGGGTGGAAGCTCAGCAGTGTCTGCCAGCATAAGAACCTGCGTTTTGATCCCCAGTGCTAGGAAAGGGGGAGAAATAAATACAAACCTGGCACATTCGTGACCTAAAGCACACACAGGTGTAGGTGATAAGTTAAAACTAGTGATGCACCAGCTCCTGTGAGAATTTATGAGCTCAAACATCTTCAGACTTAGGACCGAGTTCTAAAGGCAGACAAATGAAGTACCCTCTGAGCCCTGGTAACAATATCTGGGGCAGGGTGGTCCCTGGCATAGAGAAGGTGGACGAGACTTGGCTGTGTCTGACAAACTTCTTATCTATCACTGCTGTAGCTTATAACATGATCGTCACAATGGCTCAAAGCAGGGATGGTTTTAGAATAGAGACCCAAATACACTTCTATTTGTAAGACTCAACCCCAAGTATGTGTGCTGCGGGTTACCCCAGCTGTTCCTCTCACCTTAATGTGTGATGCATTGATGTATCCAGTATTGTTCTCTTTGGTTGGGACCAACTCTACTCTTACATCATCATAGGGAAGCACATCTTGGAACCGATTTCTTTCTGCATTTTCAGGGAGGCGAGCAGTTGAGCACTCCCCATCAACTAGCCGTTTCTTAAGAATTCTTTCATATTCTGTGAAGACCATTCCTTGCTCTAACCGCTGTTCCAGGATTTTACACTGTAAAATAGAGAAAATGGGTGTGAGAAAATGGATGCAGCTGCATGTCGCAGCTATATTTTAAGATATATTTTGGGGGCTGAAGAGATGGCTCAGCAGTTAAGAGCACTGACTGCTCTTGCAGAGGACCCGGGTTCAATTCCCAGCACCCACATGGCGGCTACGAGCCATCCTTAAGTCCAGTTCCAGGGGAATCCAAAGCCCTCTTCTGACCTCTGGGGCATTGCACAACACAGGTGCAAAAAAAAGATATTTTGAGCCGGGCATGGTGACGCACGCCTGTAGTCCCAGCACTTGGGAGGCAGAGACAGGTGGATCTCTGTGAGTACAAGGCCAGCCTGGTCTACATAGTGAGTTCCAGGACAGCTGGGGCTACAGGGAGACCCTGCTTCAAAAAGACAAAAAAAAATGATATTTTGAAATCTTGTTTTCTGCTTCAAAGTCTAACATATCAATATTGAAAATTCTATATAAAACCAAACCTAAATGTTTACAAGTCATAAAAATAAAAACAAAAGACATAATCTTGTTAGCAAGACATACTGCAAAATTATGTCTGAAGTTGAAAGCTGGCTTAAATTTGTTAAATCTTTTTTTCTCTAAACCTGTGGTCAATTTAGTGGCCCAGAAGAGACAGAATTCTCCTGGAGAACAACAAGTCCTAGAGCAGGGCAAGCAGTCCACCTGCCGAGCAAATGCCCGACTCATGACAGATGATATGAAGGCACCAAAGGCTGTAAGCACTGAGCGCCACCGCCACATGCAGCTCAAGACAACGCATATGGAGGTTGGAAATTCAGTAGCTGAGCTAAATCTGGAATAGAATGAAAGCAAAGTCTGCATTCTTTCCTGTGTGTTCCCATAGACATGGAGAGTTATTACTTTGAGGAAATCAAAAATCAAGAACATTCAGAAACAAAATAATCAGTACTGGAGCTTGAAATGATCCGTTAAGACATTAAGCTAGACATTTGCTCTGGCTGTGGCCCAGATGGTAAGATTCCTTAATATTCATTTATGACTACCACTAAATTATGCCAGAAAACCCACCAGAATTTCAGGAGGGCCCTTTGGCATTGCCTACATGATTGCCCCTGGAAAGCAGACCGGCACGCCGCACACACTCACCCTTTCATCATTCGTGGCTCTGGTGGAGACTTCCTTTCCTTCATCAGGCAGGGGCAGCCGAGACAGGGACAATCCATTGAGGGCAGCCAGCTTAAGTGGACCAATTTTTTTTGCATCTACTCGAGTCTTTTTCATTCCCTGTGGAAAATATTTACATGCACACAGAAACTATACCCGGAGACAATCCTTTCAAAAGAAATGGGCTATGTACGGAGCAAAGGGAGTGTTCCCTGCAGCAACCACAGGAGATTCCACAACTCCCCACACCATCGGCCCAGCAAACAGGAAGAAGACATTCCTTTCAAGGCCAATGCTCTGATAAGTCCTCCAGATAGAAGGCTTTGAAACCCAATTGGTTACAATACTCTGTTGCAATGAAAGGTGAGGCTGTAGGCAGGCAGCGTTTTCAGGAACACCCCAATTTCAAAATGTCAGAAAGTATCAGCTGTAGTCCACATGTGGGCACCCAGGCACACACAGACAGACAGACAGACAGACACACACACACACACACACACACTCACTCACTCGGTGCAACAAACCTTTATTTTCTTTTTATTTATTCTTTCCTTCCTTTGAAACAGTCTTACTATGCAGCCCTGGATGGCTGTAACTTGCTACGTAGACCAGGCTGATCTTGAACTCAGAGATCCACCTGCCTCTGCCTCCCTAGTGCTGGAATTAAAGATGTGGCCCACCATGGCTGGCAGCCTTTAATATTTTTAAATTTTTAAATCATTCTGAAAAAAAATGCAATGTATCTGCCTGCCTGTATTCCTCTCTGCATTCTATTGAGAAACATGTGGCCTGGGCTGGATCACTGCACTTCTCTGAATGCCCACATTTTTTAATGTGTATGAGTGTTTTATCTGCAAGTATATAAGGCCATGGAAGGCCTTAGAGGGCACTGGATCCCTTGAAACTAGAGTTACAATAGTTGTTAGGCACCGTGTGGGTGCTGGGACCATGGGAACAGAACCCTGGTCATCTGTAAGAGCAGCCAGTGCTCTTAACCACTGAACCATCTCTTCAGCCCCAGTTTCATTGTTGTCTTTAAGACAGGGTCTCCCTGTAGGCCCAGTTGACCTGGAACTCACATTTTTAAAAGAGGAAATAAAATGTAGCTGAACTCTATCAGAAAGACAGGTGTAAGAAGCATGGACAGTATGCTGTCTTGTGAAAACAGATGCGTGTCAAGTTTTTAGCCTGTGATTTTCCTCTCTACAGCAAGCAAGCATAAGAACATGCTCCTTGGACACGCTATACTTCCCTGGAAGCCACAGAATTATAATGAGGGTAGTCCCAATATTCAAAGAAATGGTTTTCTCTGTTCTGTCTTATAAAGGAAATCAGCTTTAGTTCTATCAGCCTAAAAAGCCCATAAAACACCAGGATCAAAAATCACAAAGCGGAAACATGGTGAGGGAAAGTGTTAAAAGATTACAGCTATATTGGAGAATATCACTGATGCATAACTCAAAAGTTAACTAGAATAATTTTGTGTGTGCATGTGTGTACAGAAATACAGATGCTCATGTGAGCATATGTGGAGGCCTGAAAGGGTGTCAGGTGTCCTCTGTCATTCTCCGTCTTGGTCCCTTGAGACATGGTCTCTCAGTAACCCTGAGGCTTACTATTCTGGCCAATCTAACTGGCCAGCAAGGCTCTGGGATCTACATACCTCCAGCATCCAGTGCTGGGGTTACAGGTACCCATGCCATGCCTGGCCTCTACATGGGAGTTGGGGATTTGAATCCAGGTCCTCTTGATTGCACAGCAAGCACTTTTATCCACTGAGCCATCTCCCCAGCCCCTAGAATAATTTTTAATTTCATAATTCATATTTGGTTATGAGCTTCCCACATAATACAATCCAGACTTAGAATGGATAAAATTCCAGGTAAAAGCCCAGCCTGTAATTAACTAACATCTTTCAGGTAAGTCATTTTTACCCTCTAAGCCTTGTCTAAACAGAAAAATAGAAAGGGAAAGAGACACACAACACAAACAGACACAAAGACTGAAAGGTCCTTTGGCTAAATTGCACTGACTCTAGCCATGCAGAGAGCAGTAGTGTGCTGACAGCGCTTAACAGCCAGCTGCCAGAGGGAAGGTTCTGATCCTCACCGGCCAATTTCATTGATGCAGATGCTCTCAATCAAAGCCACTTCCAAAATTTTTTTTTTTGAACAGACACACATCTTGTTTTTTTTTTTAATGTGTATGCGTGTATTGCCTGCATGTAGGTAGGTGCACCCGCGTCGTGCAATGCCCACGGAGGTCAAAAGAGGCTGTCACATCCCAAAATTCTTAAAGGACTCATCTGACACAAAAATGCCCTGCACTGACACACTACATAAAGGTGATTGGCTTTAAGATCAGTTCAAAACAAGCTGTGATTATGCCTTGGAGAACAAGTCAATGGTGTTCAATGCAGAAGCACAGTGGCTTCTTAGGTGAGAACCACTGCAGGTTATGTAGATGTCTGAGCATCCAAACCAGTCTGCCTTTGAGATAACAATCAGTCCCAGAGGTGGAGACTATGGGTGGGGAGTTATAAAGTGCTCCTCCTCGGCTGCAATTTATTCACTAATGAAGCTAAAGTTCTCAAACTTTAACTCAGGTTCCTACACTTGTTTGTTGAACAATTACAAGAGGATAATGTCCTGCTAGCATGAAGGGGTCAGAGCTCTGAGCTGGGGGTTGGCCTCTTCAACTCCTGGGAAGTTAGAAGTTAAAGGTATGAGGCAACGTCACAGTAACAAGTTAATATTGACTAAGCATTTTTGATGTTTTGGAAGTATATTAGTCCCCCAGCATCTCTCAGGGTCATCTCATTTACAAATGAGAAAACTAGGTCACAGAGAAACTAAATAGCTTGCCCAAGGTCATATAGTTTCCTGCCACTTTTATAAAGGAATCAGTATCTCAACAAAATTAACCCTTCGTTGACATTCCTTATGTCAAAGCACACACTTCAGAAAGCAGATTTTCATAATGCTGACAAGGGGACAGAGAAGAGATGGTACTAGATTATGGAGGTGGAAGGTGGGGTCTGAGGCATGTACTAATAAATGGTAGGCCCTACATTAAGAGCCAAGGCTAAAGAGTCTTCATTGTATCTTTCCCTCTTGACCACAGTACCATACACATTCTTGGAGTAAGCAAAATCCCTAAGCAAAAAGAAGGGTCAAAAGCATGACCCAATTATACAATTTTACTAATAACTCTTAAAAAGTTAATGAGAGGTGGGCATTGGTGACACACACCTTTAATCCCAGCACTTGGGAAGCAGAGGCAGATGGATCTCTGTTTACATAGTGAGTTCCAAGTAAGCTGAGGCTACAAGGAGGCTGTCTCAAACCCACAACAAAACAAAACAGTTAATGAGAGAGAAATGTTGTGCTTTAAGAGATCCAAATTGGGGCTAGAGAGGTGAATCAGTGGTTATAAGCACTGGATGCTCTTGCAGAGGACCCAGGTTCGGTTCCCAGCACTCATATGGCAACTAACAAACGCCCATAATTCCAGTTCCAGGTGATCCAATGCCCACTTCTGGCTTCCATAGGCATTATATGCATGGGCGCACTTACATACAAGCAGACAAAACACTCAGACACATAAAGTAAAAATAAATTTTAAAACTTTAACAAAACAGAGGACCAAATTGATCAAAGTCCTCAGAGTAAGCTGAACCTGCCAGGCCCTATTCAAAATATACTAAATTTCTTTAACCTTAATTCACATTAGGACATGTTTTTGTTGAATAATTACAGAAGCTAATGGCAATCCATGCTAACCATGAATAGGTCAGATGGTTTACAAGAGAGTTGACCTCCTCAGCTCCTGGGAAGTTAGCAAATTAAACTGGGCTGTACTAAAGTATCATTTTGAGTACTTGGATTACACACAAAAACAGTGAGCAGGGGCTGGAGAGATGGCTCAGCGGTAAGGAGCGCTGACTGCTCTTGCAGAGGACCCGGGTTCAATTCCCAGCACCCACATGGCGGCTACGAACCATCCTTAATTCCAGTTCCAGGGAAATCTGAAGCCCTGTTCTGACCTCTGTAGCACTACATGACACGGGTGCACTTGTATACATGCAGGCAATACACTCATAGGCATAAAATAAAAAAAAAATTTTTTTTTTAAGTGAGCAGTTCTTACTGCAGTGTCATGGAAGACTCCATCCAGCTGGCTTGGGAACTCAGGTAGTTGCTATGGAAACCCACTCACAGTCTCCATTAATATTGCTCAACCTCTCCCTTTAACCATGAGCCACCTGAGGCACTGCTCTTTACAATTCAGATAGGTAAGATTGTATGTATACTCAGGAAAAACTAAAAATAAATTTAAAATCCTATCCTTCAGTTGTTTAAAAACACACTTAAATCCATGCCCTTTTGTAAACTGCTTTGCCTATGTGTTCTGATCTATTTCAAAAGCAGTATAATCAGTGAGTGTTCACAGCCTGCCAGGTTGCTTATAGTTAGCTCTTTGAGGACCTCAAACATTGGGTCAGAAGCATGCGTGCAATAGGCCCTCAGTCTTCTAGTATATTCTCACAGGGATTGGGGAGGAGAGTCCTTGATGCCAGGACAGTGGGAGACAAATGGATGTACTCTTCACTTTCGGCATGGCTCCAGTGCAGGGCCTAGGGAGAGGAGGTGAGGAGCTACACGCCTAAGCAATGGCTACATGACTTAGACTAGACACACTTCATAACAGAACCACAAACACTTCATCAAAGGCTAAGAACTCAAAAGAGTCCAGTGCAAAGCATACCCAGGCTTCAGCAATCACTACTTGATAAAATTCCAAACAGAGTACCTTGATGCACAGCACAGTAGAAGAGAACAGTTATTATAAAGATAAATCAGTTGAAAATTCCAGGTCAGTCATTCACTAGTCGTATGACCTTAGAAAAGTTACTTAATATGTCAGAGTCCAATTCTTTATCTGTGAAGTAGGCATAACAACAGGCTTCTTACAAACTGAGCACAGCAAAGATGAAGTGTTGTCACATAGTAAACACTCTAAGAAGGGTGGCTACAGAAAACAGTTAGGCTCTTTGACATTTTGTTCCAAATAGGTAAGATGTGCCTCTCCATATTTATGTGCTGTACTGAGTAGGAGCTGCTACTTCTACAAGGGATTTCCACTGACTTCTCAGTTTACTTATCCATTCTTTAAAGGATGCCTGCAGCTATAGGGTCTTTTGTTTCAACAAGGTGCTACCTTCCAGATCCCAGAATCACTCTCCAGTTCTCAGAGGTCATGGCAGAGACAGTCAAGCTATAACCACAGGCTCGAGCCTTGAGAACTACATAAAGACTTAGAAACACCCTTCAGGGCCTCTCATTTGAGAAACTGAACAAAGACAGTCCTGGCGTGCCTTATCACCCAATAGTATTTGAAACCAGTGGTTAGCAGAGCAATCTTGTCTCAAGTCATAAAATCATCTCCTTTTCCCTAGCACATTTCCAAGACATTAATCCCCTCCCCTCAAACTACCTGAGTCTCCAAGCCAGCTGGATGGGGCCTTCCATGACACTGCACCATCCTGTTCCATAGGCCTTTACACTGGATCCAACTTATCACTTCTAGCAAAACCACTAAAACTCTCAGCAGTCCACATTATTTCCATGTCAAAAATAAGGCAAAAAACAAAGTAATGGCAGGTCGTGGTGGCACAAACCTTTACCAGCACTCGGGAGGCAGAGGCAGGCGGATCTCTGTGAATTCAAGCCTAGCCTGGTCTACATAGTAAGTTCCAGGACAGCTGGGACTACAGGGAGACCCTGTCTCAAAAAGACAAAACAAAACAAAACAAAACAAAACAAAACAATGATGGGTGGAGGTGGAAAGTTAAAAGAACAAGTAAAAAGCTGAGAATCATCAGTACTACATGAAAGTAGATGAGACAGACTAAACATTGAAAAGACAGGTTAGGGGCCTCTCTCCACATCCAAGATACCTCTGCTCCTGGGCCAGCTTACCCCCAGTGGCGGAAGTCCTTCCACGATGTTCTTCTTCCCAGAGAGGAGATCTGACACTGGCCTTTTCTTGAGAGAATCCCTCCTAGCTCGATACCTCCCTGAGGTTGTGAGGTCAGACTCTGACATGGAGGGGGTCAGCAGCCCATCTCTTCGGGGCCGCTGGGGCTCTACTATGTGGACAGGGCTGATGTCCCTTGCCCTCTTATCAGGTTCTGGGATATGGGACTTGGGCTCAAGAATATGCAGAGGGCCAGGAACTGGAGTGACCGAAGCACAGGTGTAGTTCAGCTGTGGCTCCTGGCAGTAAGTGGTTGTCAGGCAGGCCTCAGTCCCAACTGAGAGGGCCCGTGCTCTGCTGTCCTCTTCAAAGTCCTCTTCCTCCTCACTGCTGTGTATCAGCATGGTGGCATCAGAAAGAGACTTCTTGTGGCCGTATCTGCCACTTTCCTGCTCTTCAGTCTCCTCCTGCTTTGTTCTGTCAGAGAAGACACTGGACTGGGAGCTTGCCGAGAGAGCTCGTGGGGCCACATCTGCTGCTGAAGCTGACATGGTCCTCTCCTTGAGCCTCAGGCCTTCAAAACTGTGTGTGAGCCCCGCAATCTCAATGCTATTCCTCTTCTGCAGGTGGGCATGCCGGGCCACTGTGAGGGGCTCGCTGACCTCCTGCAGAGAGTGGGCCACTGGCAGGCTGTCCTCCTGGAAGGTCTGCACTGAGTGGTGGACGCGCCTGGTGATGAGATCTGGGTTGCTGCTGCTGATGTAGAGGTGGCGGGACAGGTCTGGAGTACTGTTGGCAGGCCTTGGATATGGATACGGTGGAGGTGGTCGGTACACCTGGGTTCTCATGATGTTTGGAGCTGGGTAGTCCTGGGCCTGGAGCTGCACATTTGTCAGCTCAGGCACACTGACTGCACCTACCACAGGCCGCCTCTCAGCAGGGTAAGGGTATGGAGACTGGCTGTGGAAGCTGTAGTTCAAGTTAAATGGGTAATGGGCTGACTGGGGAGAGGCAAGATGTGCATGCTCCCTAATTTCAGGCTGGCTATAGACCAGGGCATCGGGCCTGCTGTATGCATACGAATTGCCAATGTTGAGATTCCGCAGCGAGTGGCTGTGCCGTTCGGCATGCACCATGCCCCTGTTGAGCTGCTTCATCACAGTCTCATAGTCTGGAGTCGGACGGTAAGATGGGGGGATCAGGGCACTGTGCCGATGGGATGGGATGTAGTCAGGTCTCATGACATCACTTCCGGTAATACTTGGGTTGGAGGACATAGGAGAAGGCTGCAAGTAGGGCTGGGGGTTAGTTAAGGAGTTTGTACTGTGTGCACTGTAGACACTGCCGTTGCGGATGCGCCCACTGAGGTCAATCTGAGTTCTATCCAAACTTGTCTGGGAGTGACAATAGAATCCATTCTGGTTAGGCACAAAGAGGTTATCTGAAGGGAAAAAAAGTTTTAGAATGAGAGTTTGAAAATGTTGTTAAGTTGGACTTGTTACTCCAGCCACATACTGAGATAGGCCCTGACCCTGGAAAACATGTTCTACAGAACTCTTACAAATTCCTGCTTAAAATGACATTGCTTCACCCACACTAAGTGGCCCTGGGAGCCTCAGTTTCCTCATCCATAGGATGAGTCTCCTGCTTAAAAGGAGGTGCTCTGGATCTGACACACATCTAAGCCAACACTGAAACTGTATCACAAAATAAAAGTGGTGCCACATACACGAAACAGACTTTCTGAAACACTGTGGAACTCAAAAAGGAGATATTGCTCAAGGCACTGGGCCACTAAGCTTTCTCTCCCTGAGTAAGATATAGTCCTGCTGATGCTGAGCTAGTTTGAGTACCAACTATCTTGAAACATTTCTTTAACTGGAAGCTTAGATTGTTTGAAAAGATTTTTGCATAATGAAGAAAAATCTCACTGTAAAAGTACTATTGTAGCAGGGTTTTCTTGGTCTAGCAGAGGGTCACCGGTAGATGTAACCCCACCAGAGGCCCAGAAGCCAAGAAGAGCCAGGTTAAGATCACTGCAGCTGCCTCCTGCCAGGGCCCCAGGTTCTAAAAACCTGGACACAAGGCTAGAGACTCAGGCCAACTAATCTTATAGTGCTGGGTGTGTATTAGAAGGATCCATCTTTCTTCCACTCAATCTGTAGCTCCCTTGAATTGTTTTGTAATGAGCATGATTCCCAACAGTTTAAAAACAATAGCAGTTGTCGGGAGCCATGCTTGATATAAGCATTGGAAATAAGTAGAGTGCCACTTTAAGAGCTTTTGAGCTCTCTGCTTCAGCAGTCTGAGCCAAGAGGCTGTGCCGCCATGATTAATTAGGTCTCCTAGAAACTTAGTTTTGGTTCAGTCTTCGGGGCACTGGAGTTGGTGAGGTAATGCAGCAACGTGCTGTATCCATAGTTACTTTCTGTTAGTAAAATATCCATGGTGATTCCTGGGCGATTCCTTGGTTACCCCAAATCTGATTCCTATATAAGATCTGTGTTCCTCACAACAAAGAGCTTCCTGTGATCACTCACCTACCTGTAAGACTCTTCCTTCGAATAAATTCATCGCATAACTTTAAGACTTTTGTCTTAGTTTCTTTCTTGTTGAAGACCCAAGCCTGGTGGGCTTAGGGGCGTTGGACAAACGGCACCCCACATTGGGCGCCATTTGAAACTAAGTTTCTAGGAGACCTAATTAATCATGGCGGCACAGCCTATCGGCTCAGACGGCTGAAGCAGAGAGCTCAAAAGCTCTTAAAGTGGCACTCTACTTATTTCCAATGCTTCTGTCAAGCATGGCTCCCGACAAGCAGTCACCTTCAATCCCAGTGCTTGGGAGGCAGAGGCAGGCAGATCTCTGTGAGTTCAAGGACAGCTTGGACTACATAGCAAGTTCTAGGCCAGCTGGGGCTACAGGGAGATCCTGTCTCAAAAAGACCAAAAAGAACAAACAACAACAATAAATAAAAGCAGTCAGTCCTCTACAGAACAGTTTCTTTTGAAAACTATTGTTTGTATACTTCAAAAACTCCATGGTGGTGTAACATCTGATTATGCACTGGGTGACACACAGCTCTGAAGACACCACTCAAGGCCACTCTACTCTTCTCGCTGCACACTGCTTCCCCTCACTGCACTTCTGTCTGCAGGATGCGCCACCATTGCTAAGCTCTCGATCCCTTTTGTCAGTTAATAAACCTCAGTCCCTCACTAGTCTAGTCCAGTGTTGACACCTGCCTAACTGGTGTCTCCAGGCTTCTCTCTGCATCCCTCAATCATCCAATCACCCACTGGCCTGTTATGTCAGTAAAGGTCGATACTATGAGTAGAAGGGGGAAAAATATGACAGGAATACAGGCAAGTAAAAGGTCGATACAACCATCACTATACATTAAGGTCAGAGAAGCAGTAAGATTACAGGAGTCCGTAAGAGGAAAGGATCACTTGCAGCTGATATAAGGAAATGAAGATTAAGCCAGAAGATGAGGCAATCAAAGGGCCTTGTGGGGAAGGCAGAAAGGGTTCAGCTTCCATGGGTAGCCAGGTCTCTCTTCCTCTAAAAGCATGTAGAACTGTACTTTATCTCTTAGAGCCAGGCACATATGTGTGGCTAGTAACAGTCAAGAGGAGGTGAGCAGAAGGCCAAGCCGGTTTCTGAGGGCTCTCGCTGCACTTCACCCCAGCCTCAGTACCCTGACCTACAACATTCCAGATGGAAAAGGCTCTTCTAGTCCAAGCTCCTGAGGCAGGCTGACATGGAACAGAGCACACGTACCAGGGCCCAGTGCACAGGGAATTTGATCGAGAAGAAAAAACACTAAGAATTTAGAATGTTGCTAGCACAGCAGAATCCAAACAGGACGGTGCTTGGTTAAGGGTGTATGGGTGGTAGGGCAGAGGGGCAAAGCTAGGTTCTACTCCTAGAGAGCAAGCTAGAGAGAAGCAAACAGAAAGCCAGATCAGATGGGCATGCTAAGGGGATTCTGAGAACCACATGGACATGGGAAAGAGATCCTGCAGTCAGGAAGTTAGCTGGCAGCTGTGTATCAGATGAGCCAGGGAGAGTGGAGACTGAAGATCCAGCTCATAGGATGCAACAGTTAAGGGGAAGCACTAAAGGTGAGGGGTTATGGATATTTAACTGACTAGGTAAAAGAAAAAGCTTGGAATCCACATAATCATGAGCATGCTTCATCACAATGGGTAAAGCAGGATAATGCAATGAGCTCAAATTTAATATTTAATTTCCAGCAAGCCCTCATAGTTGACACCAGTTTCTGAGTCCCTGCTTACCACTAACCACAAAGACCCTCCCACACAGGGTCCTTTCAGCTCTTATAACTTGTCTGGTGGTAGGAAATGGGGCATAGGTAGAACACAGGAGTGACAACAGGGTGGGAAATGATGATATGAGTCACGCTTATAGAAACTAAATGTGGAGGAACTGCCATGAAGTCCCCAACAGGAAGGAGGAAGGTTGAAGACAGGCCATCATGATACCACATAATACTGACAGGAAGAGGGTGAGCTGCTCATCGGGAAGGTGGTGCTTGACTGACAGTGAGAAGGACCTGTGGGTGCTGGGAAGCCCTGAGAGGGGGGACTAAGGGGAAACCAACAAGTTGGAGCACAGGGACATCACTCTTATAAGGAAGATAGTCAAAAAGGAAAAATAAAAAACACAACCCATTATTGGAAAAGAGGAGAGCAAAAAATACTAGGATCATCAAACTGAGGAAGGAGACTATTAGCATGGTGACAGAAGACGAAGAGCCTTGTCCTCAGGACTGGAGAGACTGGGTGCAAGTACAGATGGGCATGTGCAAAGAGTAGAGGATAGTCATCCAGCACTCCCCGGAGGACATGGGAATACGCTGCCCAGGATCCACTCCCCACCGCCTCCCTCACTGTGCGGACATTCTCAACTTTACACTAAGGCCAACAAAAGCAGCACAGCCACAATCTGCCTGCTTTCTGTCCCTTCAAACCTCGCTCCCCATGAATTCCCTATGTGAGAGGGCAATGGAGCCGCTACTATCCAAACAGGGCACTCACTATCTCCTCCTCCTCCAACCGTATCAGGGCACTCACTATCTCCCCAAGCCACAGCAGTGGTCCCAGTCCCAGGCCTTCCTCTAACTGTTGAAATTCAGCCAGCTCTCAATATCCAGAAAGTTCTTAATGCCCCCGACAAGATGAACGGCACACCAACTACAAGCTTTCTGGGAAAACAATTGTGTTCTTTTTGTGTTCAACTTTCGAGAATTTGGCTCATTTGTATGATTAGAGTCCAAGCTGCCAAAGATATGAACTACCCATCTGTATCAACCTCTCTGGCCTTCAGTAAAGCCAGATACAGCGTACAGAGCACATATTAAATGAATGCTCAAGATTCAGCTTCGAGGCACTGTTCTCAATACAGGTCACTTGTATGTACCACAAAGAAACTGCAGTAATAGCAATCAAGTATTTAAACCATTACAATGGGAAGGCAAAATACAATGAGCCTGAATAGCTTCTGCCACAAAACGAGCACTTTTAAAGACCATGGGTGCCTGGTATGGTGGCACATGCCTGGAAACCCAGCACTTGGGAGATGAAGGGAGGCAAATTATGAATTCAAGGGAAGTCTGAGCTAAATACTGAGATGCTGTATCAAGAAACAAACAAATAAGACTATTAGGGAGTATTAAGGACTTAGGAAACAGCTTCAACAAGTTATCATTGATTGCATTTGGGATCATCTAAGCAACATGCACTCAAGAAAGAACTTGAACACAATGGCTTAGTCTGTGAATCCAGGATGGCTATAATCATGACAATTTGGGTATAACCTCAGGGGAATATCATTCAACTTCAAGGTCTCTACATTGTCAGAGTTATTAGAGTAACTGTGCCCAGCTTTGCAGACTTGGTATACTTTACCTTGGGAAGAAGCAAATGGCTCTGTGTAATGTCCATTATAATGCAGTTGGGGTGGGGGAGGCATCACATAGGGCTGGGGCTTAGGCTAAGAAATGGAAAGTTAGACACAGGGTTAAATACATTGCCTGTATAATAAAGGTAAAGTCATTCTCTGCTGGATTCTTTCTCTACATTAAAAAAAAAATTCTAAAGAGGTTATTTATATTGTACATAGAAAATAACCATGAAGAAACAGAAGTCTTACCAAATCTATCATTTTCAATGACTCCCACATGGTAAAACCAAGCCCTATGCACTGACAGCAAGGATACTAGACACACAAGAAAGTCTGCATCCATAAAGTTATAAACAGGAGGGAATGGATATATATATACTTGTATAAACTTATGAATATAAACCACTTAGTACATGTGAATGTACACAGTACATTCAACCTTGTTAAACAAAATCAAGTAACTTAAATATCTACTTATGATTATTTATTAGTTAAAATTCATAGTATTTGCTAGTATCCAATATTTAAACATGTATACTAAATTTAAAATTGAACTTATGGAAAATCACCATTTCTTTAGATAAAAATGATCAAACACATCTGTGTTGCAAACTCAACACACTATCCAAAGCATATTTTATTAAAGAAAATGACATCGCTAAAAGCAAAGCAATCTTTGTTCTTTTCTTACCAGAGACATCCTAGAAGATGATCTCCTCCTGATTGAGTTCAATGTGAGAGTCTGAGTTTGCCTGTGAAAGAAGACAACTCTGAGCTAAGCACACACTTCTGAATTCTACAAGGATAAACTAACATGTAGAAAGGAAGTAAGTGTGCTGGTTTATACATGTAACCCCAAGCATGAAGGAGGTGGAGGCAGGATGACTGCCATGAGTTTGAGGCCAGCCTGGGCTACACAGTGAGGCTAGCTTAGCTCTAGAATGAGACCCTGTGTCACAAAAAAGAAATCAATAACAATAACAAAAAGATATACACAGAGATAAAATGGGGACTCTTCTACAGCAAATGGCAAAAGGACATAAATTACAGAAAAGAGCTGTGACTGTCTTTACGTGGGACCTCAGTAGCTTTGTCAGAACCACAAAACACATACTTCTCTCTGATTTGCATTAATTAATTTATATACTTCATGGATATTAACGTAAATAAGACTACTAATAGCTGACTTATTTACCCAATAATTTGGGATTTTAAAAGTCATGCAACAAATTCCACTTCTGAAAAAACAGTAACGTTTACAAAAAAGAGACAAGAAACAAAAAGCCCATTTGTGTCTGTTGTTTTCAAATAGAGACAGGATTTTTGTTGCAGTCCTTATATCTTCCAGCTTTATTATAAATAAGATCTATGAACCTAAACACATTGGATTCTTTTAATATTTAAAAAATAAAGCAGGACTGGAGAGATGGCTCAGTGGTTAACAGCACTGGCTACTCTTGCAGAGGACCTGAGTTTGACTCCCAGCAGCCACATGGTGACTAACAACCATCCATAACTCCAGTTCCAGGGTATCCAACTCCCTCTTCTGACCCCATAGACACTGCACAACATGAGTGCATTTAAATGCAGGCAATACATTCATACACATAAAATAAAAATAAAATATTTTTAAGGGCTGGAGAGATGGCTCAGCAGTTAAGAACACTGGTTGTTCCTGCAGAAGATCTGGGTTCAAATCCCAGCACCCACATGGCAGCTAACAACTGTCTGTAACTCCAGTTCCAGGGGATTCCACAGCCTCTTCTGTCCTCCGCGGGCATTGCACGACACAGGTGCACTTACCTACACACAGGCAATACACACGTACACACAAAATAAAAATAAATAAAATATGAAAAAAAGTTTTTTTAATATTTTTAAAAATTAAAGGAAACTGGATGTGGTGACACACCCCTAAAATCCCAGCACTCGCAAGATGGGTAGATCTCAGTGGGATTGGGGCCAGCCTGGTCTACACAGCAAGTTCCAGGCCAGCTGGGACTACAGGAAGACCCTGTCTCAAAGAAAATAGGGGAGGGCAGGAAAAAGGGGGGACCAATTAGTGATCCTACCCAGGTGTAAAGCCTACAAATCACAGTTATGAGCCCAGCAAATTATCTCTTGGTGTAGTAGGAGCACTTTTATCTTGGAAGTAATCAACAGCTGTCTAATGAGACTTAAGGCCTGCTCAATAGGTGGAAATTCATGCATGGTACTGTGAACATAGCCAAGTACATGATTGGTCATAGATTGCAAAAAAGAATCTACTTCTGGCCCTTTCCTAGACCAATGTAATTTCTTACTATCTTATATTCACAGACAAGAGTACCACTCGCCACTCAAACCTGCTCCTTTTTGCAAAAGATGGAGACTATCACAAAGTTCCACAACCAGTCCAAATACAGAAAATAAGTGACTGTGAGGTGCCCAGCCCTAACTGATACATCTATAATGCAACCTCTACACTTACGGCTCAGGGAACATTATAGAAGAGGGAGCCGAAAGATTTTAAGAGCCAAAGGGACAAGACACCTGCTGCTAGTTCATCCATTTTAGACATGACAGAGAAGCTGCACAAATGAAATCTTCACAGTATGGTAGTCTAACAAGAGCTTCACAATGACAAAACCAGGTGACATGCCAAGGTGGATGGAAGAAACTTCAGGGGGCTCCACCTCAAGATGAAGAGCTACGGGCAATCAGTGGATACTGAGGGAGGGAGAATCAGTTTTCCACGAGGACTAACGCCCTAAGAAATTATCTAATCCCAAGTGGGCAGTCCTAAACACAGGTACACCCAAGCACCACTAAATGGACTCAGTGCATTGTACACACACACATACACACACACAAACACATATATTTATGAATGTATGTATATGTAACAATAAATCAGAGGAAAAAAACTGAAAGGGAGGGGGACATGGGAGGAGTTGGAGGACTTCAAGAAGTGGAAATAATACAAATATTCATGTATTCTCATGGAATTCCAAAAAAATTAATAAAATGAAACAAATTGTATCCTTGCTTTGTTGATAACTTAAAACAAAGCAAGGATACAATTTTACCATTTATTCTGATTCAAAAGTTTATGTGACACATATCTGATTATTGAAATATTTTGCAGCCTTTGGTTAGTACTCTAAGGATTCACTACTAAAAATTTCATCATCACAAAGAAAATCAATTCACTTACTCAGCTAATTCACCATAGTAACAAACCTCCTTTCTCCTAAACTAGCATTATTTTTAGCAGTCTGATAACTGGTATCTGTATTAAACCCCAAATATTAGCTTATTTTTATGAGGCTTTTGAGATAAAAAGGAAACCACCAGATGTTGGTGGCTTCACATCAGGTGATTAGCACTGCTGTTACCAGGTGATGACTTTATTTCCTTTCACTGGAAGTATTCAGGTTGTGGAAAAACAGAAGTCTATTTTCCAAAAGATGTTTCATACTGCCAGCATTTATGTTAAGGAGATAAGTCTGCATAAGTCTTTTCAAAAATAGCAATTAAATGTATATAAGACACTGTATTTTGTTACTTTGAACTTTACTTTACCTCTGGGCATCCTCCATGGTCAGGCCTAGGTTAGGGGACTTTGTATTCAGTCTATCACAGGCTCACCATCTAGGTTAACTTTTTGTGTGTGTAGTTTTTTTTATTTTATTTTTTCTTTTTCGAGACAGGGTCTCTCTGTAGCCCCAGCTGACCTGGAACTCACTATGTAGACCAGGCTGGCCTCAAACTCACAGAGATCCGCCTGCCTCTGACTCCCAAGTGCTGGGATTAAAGGCATGCACCACCACATCCGGCTTCTAGGTTAACTTTAAGTATCAAATTCAGAAACAGGGAAGAAAGGTAGCCTAGCTGATAGACTACATTATCAACAAACTCCCAACAACACATCTGGAGATGCCCAGCCTGGGACAAGAAGAAAACTTCAGTGTGGCAAACCCAGAATCCAAGGCCGCAGAGCCCAGGAGCAGAGGCAGTGCTTCACCCGTACTACCAACCTACTTTGGCACCTTGCTGGCAGCATTCAGTGGGGAGGCAAAAAGCAGAAGCCAGCTATGCTAAATACAAAACAAAGGAGCACTATGTCTACCTGCCAAATGGGCTAGCCTAGGGAGCTATGCCAGTAGCTCTAATAGTCTACCTCTTTCTTCCTCATTGTTCTAAGTGCAGTTCACTGTGAGGTTAGCCATTATCAACTCCACACACAAAAGAACATAATGTCATTGTTGGCTGTGCTTCCCAAACTTTTGGGGTGGTTTCTTTGCTAGTGAGTAATGCTAAAAAGTTAGATGCTAAAAAGTGAGATGGGAGCCGGGTGTGGTGGCGCACACCTGTAGTCCCAGCACTTGGGAGGCAGAGGCAGGCGGATCTCCGTGAGTTCATGTAGGCCAGCCTGGTCTACATAGTGAGTTCCAGGACAGCTGGGGCTACAGGGAGACCCTGCTTCAAAAGACTAAAAAAAAGTGAGATGCCTAAAAAGAACTCTTTAGAATCAATCACTGGAATGTGTGCACTGGAGAAGATAATTAAAAAGCTGTCAGTCCAAGGATGATGCTTCCTGAAACTCTGCTCAGGACTCTGATTCAATCTCATGAAATCTCAGCACCAGCCCCATCAGAGAGGTTCATCCCCGTTTTGCAGATGAAGAAAGTGATACTCAGATTAAGTAGATCACTCCTGATCACATGGCAAACAAGTGGCAGAACCAGCATTTTAACAGGCAGGTTGAATTCTGTTCCAATCCCAACTAACTTGTAAACTCCATGGAGGAAGAGTTTCGAGAAACCATGATGTGACAGTGCCCAAGCCACGCCTGGCATATCAGCAGTCCTCAAATTTATGTTGAATGGAAGTCAATGTTCGTTACCACTGAACTCATGTTTCAAAGGTATCTCAGGCCTACAAGATGGCTCAGTGGGTATAAGCACTTGCATATAAGTCTAATGACCTGAGTTTGATTACTAGCGCTTACAAGGTGGCAAGTGAGAAATAGTTTTTAAATGCACTCATACACAGGCTAAATTAACTTGCTAATTTTAAAAAATATTCTATGAATAAATGGGAGCTGGAGAGATGGCTCAGTGGTTAAGAACACTGACGTTCTTGCAGAAGACCCAGGTTTGAATCCCAGCACCCACATGGCAGCTAACAACTGTCTGTAACTCCAGTTCCAGGGGATCTGACAGTCTCTTCTGTCCTCCGCGGGCACTGCACGACACGGGTGCAATTACCTACATGCAGGCAATACATGCACACACATAAAATAAAAATAATAAAATATTTTTAAAAATATATGTTCTAAGCCAGGCGTGGTGGCACACACCTGTAGTCCCAGCACTTGGGAGGCAGAGGCAGGCAGATCTCTGTGAGTTCAAGGCCAGCCGGGTCTACATAGTGAGTTCCAGGACAGCTGGGGCTACAGGGAGACCCTGCTTCAAAAAGACCAAAAAAAAAAATTATATATATATATATGTTCTAAGAGTTGTCTAGCTTGCTCTGCAAGCTTCCTTTCAGTCAGTTGTTTATTCACAGCTACTAAAGGGGAGACTTTGATGATGCTGTGTTAGATGGTGGAAATACCTTGAGAATGTTTGTCTCAATTTTCTCTTGAGCTTTCCATGAGGACAATGAAAACCAAAAGCTCCCTGTTCTAGGGTAGGCCAGAGGTACATGTCCAGGATGCTTCAAGGATGCTGGTCTGTCTCTGAGATGTCTGCCCCTACTTGCCACT